ATTTGGTCATTTGCTTTTTTAAAAATTATTTTACTTACTTTTTCAATATGTATATGGACATGGCACAAAATGACCAAAGAATATACTGAGGAAAAGCTCCTCTTCCCCAGGGCCCCCCCCCGCCCCGTTGCCACGTTCCGGTCCCCTGAGGCCCCCACTGCCACCTGTCTTGGCAGATGCTTCCCGACACAGCCTCTGCGCAGGCGAGCTGTTGTCCTTCATACCTTCTACAAACTCAAAGAGGCGCGATGCTAGAAAGTAACGCAGAACAAGGCTGCCACAAGGCTTGGCGGAGCCCTGGAAAACAGCCGGCGAGATGCCGGGCTTACATTTTTCACAGCCGTCGTGATGACATACGGGAGGGACTGCACAAAAGGCAGAGGCTGTCACACTGGATGAAGAATGCAAGAACGAACTGTATGAGAGGCCACGTTAACTACGAAGAACAAGAGAAGCTGAAGCGAAAGGGTGGAAGACGATATACCGTTCATCCTCTCCTCGCCTTCCTTCCAGACTCAGTTACACAGTTTGGCGTTGTCCTGGAGGCTCTGTTCATTTTTCCCCAATCTTTTTTCCACTTTGAGTTTCAGTTTGGATACCATACATGAGGAAAAATATCTTCTTCCTAGACCCTTCTAAGTTCTTGCCTGGAGCCCCTGTAACAAAAGACAGATTAGTAAGAGAAGAGCGTACGGATTGACCTAATGTACCGTTTAGGTGACGCGGGAGCCTTGACAGGAAGTGGACACCTGAAGAAACGGGGAAGCCTGGCTTTCTTTTGTAGGTTTGATGAAGAGTGGAGAGAGCTTAGGGTCTTTTGTTTGTTTTGTTTTATAATTTATTTTTAGAGAGAGGTCGAGGGAGGCAGAGAGGTTGAGAGAAACATCGGTGTGTGAGAGAGAAATCAGTTGGTTGCCTCGCACACCGCCAGCTGGGGGCCTGGCCTGCAACCCATTTAATCCCTTCCTAAATGGTTCCCATGGTATCCCTTCTTAAAAAACCATTTTGAAAACATTTATTCTAAGGGGGGTTCAAAGGCTTTGCCAGACTCCCCAAATAATCCCCACCACAAAAGTGTTGAGAACTTTAACTATGATGTTAGGCACTGCTGGCCTCTCGGTTCTCTCCCACCCGCCACCCCCGGCTCCATGCAGTCGGGGGAAGGAGTTTCTCCAGGGCTCCTTCGCTCATCGCTGAGCGCCTCCTGCGTGGCAGGTGCTGTCCTGGGCTCACAGGACGGAAGAGTGAGCGAAGCCAAGTCCCTTCACTCAGGCTGGCAGGAGCACATCCATGTTTCCACGTAGGCAGACCAGCAACGTCCAGGCCTTACCCCTGCCGTTACCGGTTACCTGGTCCATGAGGAATAGCCGTTGGCTCACGTCTGTTAATTGGTTAAAGTCGGTCTGTGGATAGGCCCTAATCCCAGCGTTACTTGTTCTTCTCCTTCCCCCATCGCCTCTGCCTGCGGTCACAGAGGCACCACTCTGGTGTGTCTGCCCAGCTTGGAAGGGCGGAGGAGAGGGCGCTCAAGCAGAAGCAGGGGTCACCTGTCAGACGCTCGGGGGAGCCCATAAAGTGAGGGCACACTGGCCGCTGGGTCTGCAGCCAGGGATTGGCACCCTCAGTGAGCAGTAGAAGGGAACGGGGAGGAAGCCCCGATGCTGGGGGCCCAGGAATGGGGGGCAGGAGTGTGGGCCTTCAAAGGGAAGCAGGAACAGCTGGGCGGGGAGGTAGGGCCGCGGCACCCTTTTTGGGTGAGGCACACTTTGGGCTCTTGAAGCTGAGGCCAGACAGAGACTGAGGCTCCAGGAGATAATCAGTGGACCGAGCAGGGATACAGGGTAACTCAGAAGGAGCGTGGCAACGTTCAACACATTTGAGCCCGTGGGCCCCGTGGGAATCCACGTCTCTGGGGATCCTGCAGCGTCTCTGGCTGTCTTGAGTGGACTTGCTGCAGATTCCCAGGCCCTGTCGCTAATCGGAGCGATCTACTTTTCTTAATCTCACTCATCCGCCTTTGAAGAGCCATTGGCCTGAAACTCAGCGTCAGGTTTCCATTCCTGGGGCTGTGCTGCCACCTGCTGGGCGGACAGCAAAAGCAGCGACAACCATTTGCTGGAAGGAACGGACCGCTCTTCTAAAATGGCTGCAAGGTCGACCCGCCGAGTCCGAAGCCAGACAGGCCGCGGGGAGGCCGGAGACGATGTTTGCGGGGTCTGACCCCGCGCGCAAGCCGACCCGCCCCAGCTCTGCAGGGCACCCAGCACCCAGCACCTTCGGGCCCCTGGAAGGGAGCAGCTACCAGGGCTGGACCGTTTCCGTCCCTTCGTGGGGAGGAACGGAACAGCAGGGAGAGCCTTGATTGTGCGCCCCTCCAGCCTCGCAGGTTTGTGGAGGGGCGGCGGGAAATCGCTGGCAAACTGGGCGCGGCGTCAGCACCACCTTATCGGAGTAGGCCCGCGCTAGGGGCAGGGCGGGTCTCTCTCCTGGTGCAGGCCCGACCCGAGGACCCCAGGACCTGCAGCCGGACTGCTCTCCGGTGATGCTGCTCAAGCCTCCCTCTCCCTGCCCTTCGGCAAAGGAAGCCCCAACACCCTCCTCCTGCTCTCAGGCCGCGCAAGTGCAGAAAGAGCACGGCCTGCGGGCCGAGCCGGCGGCGGTCCGAATTCACGCTCCCAGGGGCCCACGCTGCCCATTGCACGGTCAGGTTTACTTACACCCACGGGCCTGCCAGGAGGCGAGCACCGTGGCCGGCCAGGACAGGTTCGCGCTCGGGAGAAGGGTGTAGAGTAACGGGCCAGGCCCTACGGTCACCCCTGATGGCTCTCAGGGGACCCTAACACCCTGCTCAGGCCCTTGACAGTCGTCTGGGACGGACCAGTCACCCTTGACGAGGTAACTTGACATTCAAGTCTGACTCCTCAGCCTTGAGAGCGGACACCTGTCCTAGCCGGGTCGCTCAGTCCGCGAGGTCACCCCCATGCACCAGGGTTGCGGGTTCCGACCGGTTCAGGGCACCTACAAGAACACCCATGAGCCCTGGCTGGGGTGGCTCAGGGGCCTGAGTGCTGGCGCGCCCTCTGGAAGGTCTCAGGCTGGGTGGCGGCGGGCCAGGTCCCCAGGTGGTAGTGCGCAAAAGGCAACCAATTGTGCGCTCCCTTTCTCCGTCTCTTCCCCTAAGATGAAGTTTCTTAAAAAATCAACCGCTTCGTGGACAGGTAGGCGACCAAGGAATCCCCGCCTTTCTCACCGCAATCAGCAAGAGCTGAGACTTAACCTGTGACCTGCCCGGTGGACTCTAGGCAGAGGACCACCCGCAGGTTGCCAAGGGTTCGTTTAGTTCCAGGTTCCCTATCAGAGGACACACCCCGACCCCCACCCTGGCAGCACCACACTTCTATTGGCGCTCATCCCTCAGGGCTGTCTTGGAGCTTTGCCTTGAGCCCTTAGTCCTGAGAACAGGACTGGTGGCGGTGGGTGATGTGCTCGCGGCTTGTTTCCCCGCCCCACTACCAAAAACTCACCCGACAACTAAGCTGCCTGCCCTGGCTGCTGCGGCTCGGGGGGCTCAGGGGACGGAGTCCGCCGTGAACCTAAAGGTCACTGGCTCCCTTTCCAGTCAGGGCACAGGCCTGGGCTGCAGGCCGGGCCCCAGCGGGCCATGTGCCAGGCAACCGACCGATTTCTCACACATTGATGTGTTCTCTCAACCTTTTGACTTCCCTCCACCTCTCTAAACAAATTATAGAAAAAAAACAAAACCCTAAGCTATCCAATTAAAGCCTTCAGGTTGGCTTCCCTGTAACGTATTTTTTTTTCACATTTTTTAAAAAAAGATTTTATTTTTAGAGGGAGGGTAACGGAGGGAGAGGGAAACACTGATGCACGGACGCCTCTGGGGCACCCCCCCACCCGGAACTAAGCCCACAACTCAGGAACACGCCTTGACCGGGAACCAAACCAGCGGCCCTCTGGTTTGCAAGCTGGCACCCAGTCAGCCCACTGAGCCACACCAGCCAAGGCTGATTTCCCATTTTTCACTAGTCTGATTAACACAGGCTTTTGGGGCTGGCGGGCTGGCTGCAAAATCTCAGCTCTGTACCATCTGGGGTACAGTTTCCCAACTAAATTAATCGTTAGTCCCTTCACTTAGACATCTTATCAGCATTTAATTCTTAGTAAGAGAGGGGGATGCCTAATAAATGAGGCCTTTGCTGGGTGGCTCGATTGATTAAAGCATTGCCCCATATACCAAATTTTGCAGTTCAATGTGCACTTTTTGCCCAAATTTTTGAGGGGGAAAACAGGGATGTGCACTGTACATGGATAGTACTAAAACAGTGCACATTATACACAGGAGCATGTTATGCATGGCAAAATACGGCACCAAAAGGGCAATCAGGGCCTGTACTAGAGGCAACTGATCAGTTTGTTTCTGTAAAATCAATACACATACCCTCAGGTGAGGATTTAACAAAAATAAATCAGAATGCCTGGGTAATATGCACTTCATGCAAAACCAAAGGCATTTCTTAAACTGAGATAGCTGGAGACTTAGAAATAACACCAGGTCCATCTACTGGACTGGTAGTTTCCTCCCCAGCTGCCTGGTCACAAGGCCTCCGCGCCCTCCCTAGTTGCCAACTACCCCAGAATCCAGGCGCATGGCCGCGTCACCTGAGGCCCAACTGTTTCCTGAGCGCTTCTCCTCTGGCCAGCTCTAAGCAGAAGCCACAGTGGACCTTCACCCACCAAAACCTGTGGCTGGATACTTGAAACCCAAGCACCGAGCCCTTCCGTCAGGTGTCGGGTGGATCTGAAGTGGCAGAGCTGGGTTTGCCAGGCTCCACCTTCAGCGATATTCCAGGAGAAACACTCTAGGAAGTACAAGTCTGGCACCAGAGTTTAGGACTTTTAATTTGTCCCAAATTTGCTGAAGCAAAATCATGATAAAACATTCTGCTTTCCTTTATACCCCCCAACACACACAAAAAAAACTATTTGTAGGAAAAAATGGTTTTGTACATGGGAAGAAACAATATAAATTCAAAACTTACAGATAAGGGTTAGCTCTATCACTCATTTCTTTAAAAAGTTTATATGAATATCCAGTCAAAACCAACAGGGTAGTTCCCTTGAAATGTTATCTATCCGGATTTCCAAGTAGACCACAGGACTGTATACTGTCTTGGAATGTCCTTAGAAGGCTCTGTCATTGATCAGGTAACAGAGTAAAAACCCCAGAGTCCTTTCTTTCAAATGGAAGAGGGAAAGACAGGAATAGAAGAAACTATTCAAACTTCGTCTTCTTTCCTTGTGGCTTGTGGTCGCCGCCGCCTCCTCTGCCTCCCCGGAAGCCTCCCCGACCTGCAGAAGGGAAGGGAAGGCACGAGGTCAAACAGAATAGGCGTGAAGCTGCCAGATGCTCTCCCCTCCCCCGTGGCTAGTGACAACGGATGCAGTGTCAGGGGACACTGGGGTGGCCCCTCCATGATCCTTACCTCCAAAGCCTCCCCGGCCTCGGCCACCAAATCCTCCTCGGCCTCCTCTGCCACCACCTCTGCCTCCAAAGCCACCTCTGCCTCCGCCGCGACCACCGAAGCCACCTTCACCCTTAGGCTTAGCCCAGTCCAAAGTGACTTTGTTTCCATCAATTTCACCATCTTCCATGGCCTCCTTGGCTGCTTTGGCATCTTCCTCACTGTTGAAGTCTACAAAACCAAACCTAAAATGCCAAATGAAATTACCCATTATAAAGCAAGGAACACAGAATACACACCAAAGTTAACCACACGTAGTGGCCAGTCATCCCCTAGGAAGTAGTCTTACTCCACTGAAAAAAGACCCAAATGACCAGAGTTGCGCTCTCTGGCAAGTTGAAACTGGTTTTACTGACAGCTTGAAGGCCAGAATGAATGTCTCACAAAACAGCAGAATATACCTCTGAAGACCAAAGGTAAAACAATGCTAGCTCTGTGAACTCGCTCTTCTTCTCGTGCGAATCCATAAACTGCCACAGATCGACAGTAAGGAGCTCAATGAGAAGACATGTTAATGGGACTCCATTCAGTGGACACCGGACATCTCTCCCATCTTACCCTTTGGAAGATCCAGTCTCCCGGTCTGTGACTATCCTGGCCCGAATAGAGCCATCAAAGGACTCCTTTAATGTCTCTTCTGTAGTCTCCTCAGACAAACCTTTGACAAATAGAGTTTTGGACGGCTCTGGGGAAGAATAAAAGAAACTGTTTATTAAAGTCATAATTCACAATGACGATACACTAGATTTCCATGTTTAGAGTAACTACTGGCCAAGAATGCTCGTCTTAGCAGAAGCTTGAAGCATCTCTACGAGAACGTAACCTCAGCCAGCTCTGCTTAATTAAAGCGAAGGGCTTAAATCAACGGCCCTCACCAGTTCACCTTGATCACCAAAGTGGAGGAACTACGAGTGGCCTCGATCTTCTGTGGAAAGCAAAGCCAACCCAAACGAGACAGCAGACCTAAAGCGGGTAGCTGCAAACTTTGGGTGCATCTGCTGCTCAGAGTTGACGTGGCTGGATCAGAACTTGACTATCTAGAGGAATTTTCTTGGGATTTCATCAATTATTTCTCAGACAATCAATCAGTCATCATATCCAGTGTCATTTACTGAGCAGCAACAGAGACCACAAGTGGTCACCTCTAGATCCGACCAGAAAGTGACAGCTCAGGCACCCCCGAACCACCAGGCCCTGTTAATGGCAACTTACGGCTTCTCGCGTTAGGTGATCCCCTGGGTCCTTGCAACTCCAGCCTGATTGCTCTGCCCTCAATTTCTCTCTTATTACAGGAATTTAAAGCCTCTTTAGCATCTTCAAATGAAGCAAATTCTATAAATGCATACCTGAGAATGAAGAGTCAATACTTAGAATGTTACCAAGCCTAAGTCTCCTTTGCAATCACATCTAATGCCATTGAACCTTTTTCCTCAAGCACATAAAAAATGTTCTTTTATTTTACGTGGATTTGTCCAGCTAAGTAATCTGCTTCTGACAGCCAGGAAAACATGGTTTTGCCCGTGCAAGACACTCTTACAGACCAGAACTGACAACACAGTGGTATAGATTATTTTACCCTTTAGATTTGCCATTTTGGTTCTGGGCCACTTTGATAGAAGTTGCCTTCTCAAATACTTCCTGAAGAGTTTCTTCTGTTGCACTGTAGGAGAGGTTGCTTAAAACCAGAGTTTTGGATTCACCTACAAGTAGAGAGATGCCAACATTAAGGCTGTGAAACAGTGTCTATAACTTCAGTCACAGCTTTTATCTTAAGAATTTCTGTGCCTTGCCCTGGCAATTGTGGCTTAGTGGATTGAGCACCAGCCTATGAACCGAAGGGTCGCTGGTCTGATTCCCAGTCAGGGCACATGCCTGGGTTGCGGGCCAGGTCAGTGGTTGGGGACATGCCGAAAGTCAGCCAACTTATATTTCCTTCTCCCTCCTTTCCCCCCTCTCTGAAAATAAGCAAAATCTTAAAAAAAATTTCTGTGCTTGAGTTAACATACTCATGTTTTCTAAACAGGCTAATGTTGATGAAGATGGAATCCCATACCGAGTGCCTCAATATACCAAGCACCTATTACGCACTGTTATATCCTGCTTCCTGTTGTTCAAATGTGTAAGCTGAGTACTGGTATCTATGTTTATAGAACAATTTTCTAGTTTTAAAATGTACATAATGTCATTTAAAGTCTAAAACATACATACAAAAGGAAATCAGAGCTATCTATGTTCTAATGCAAAATGATTTCAGACACTGAACTACTGTTGAGATGTAACTTGCTTAATCTATATCTACATTCCAGTTAATCAGTCAACTTTACATATAAAGTTCAAAGGGGCAAAGGATTTCTCTCCAGTTCTGGAACTCTGTAAGAAACTGAGAAATTCTTACCACTCCAAGTGCTATTCTTGCCACCTCTATAGTCTTGATTTTGACCTTTCTCTCCGGTGTAGTACAGGGAAATGGATCGCCCATCTATTTCTGTTCCCTGCTTTTCTTCCAAGGTTTTCTCCGCATCAGCTTCTGTCTTAAATTCAATATATGCAATTCTGCAATTGGGGGGGGGGGCACACACACATTAAAATAACCCTAAGATTCCACTTCATTTTCAAACCTTTTTAATACAAATGTTTAAATCTCAGCAATATGACCTTACTTTAAATTTAAAAAGAAATGTCAAAATGTCGTATTTTATGCTAACAAATGTTTGTGGCTTCTGCCATCTTCCACTTTTCAATTAAAACTTTCGTCCCAATATACAAAGTTTGCCTAGAAAGTTTGTTTGCAGTAACCCTAACTCACTGCAACTGCCACTACTTACAAAGCACTCACTGTGCGTTGGGCACGTTTCACAGTATTTTACACACAAACTCATCTTTCAAAAATCACTCTGAATTAAGTATGTTATCCCCAAAGTAAAGTAAGAAATGGAAGCACATGTTATAAATTAATTTGTCCCAAATCACACACCTAGGAAAAGTTAGCTGTTTCTTTTATAAATTAGAAATGCATTTATTTTAATAAAACTCAACAGTCCAGTAGACACAAACATACCCTTTACTCTTTCCATCCTTGCTGACTAATCTAATCTCCATGGCATCTTCGAACACTTCTTTTAATTCTTCCTGAGTAACTTTATAAGGCAGATTTTTAGCCAAAAGTGTTCTTGCATCTCGATCTATATAGAAGACAAAATGAATCAAACAGGTTAAAAGACCATCCTCAAGATAATGACCAACAGAAAAGTTCTGTGTAAGATACAATTTGAGATCCTACAACATATGACACTCTGACAATATGGAGACATAGCACTGGCAAGAAAAGCTGTTACCACAACTGACGTCAACCTTGAGCTAGATACTTAAAACAACCTACTAGGTGCTCAGTATTTTTAAATTTAAAAAGTCATTAACACACACGAAACATGACAAAGGAAACAAAAAGAACAGTCAAGTACCTGATCTAGTTCCAGTGAGGAAAGGCCTCTGTGTTAACTGAGGTACGGACATAATTTTATTCACTTTGCTTTACTGTTTCATAGATGTTGCTTTTTAAAAAAAACTAATTGAAATCAAGACCCTCCACCAGCAAAAAGGCTGCAACTTCCTGTGACACTCGATCATGGTGGCCTGGAGCCAAGTCTGCAGTATCTCCAAGGCGTACCTGTACATCTTTTTTAAGTTCACTCATGCCTGCCTGACTCGGGAATTTGTGACACCAGCAATCAGTGCCAGGCACTGCTGCAAACATTTAACATTCGCTCTCATTTAATCCTAAACACTATGAGGAAACCAGAGTAGAAATGTTCAAGTGCTTAGACTAGAAACATTTCCATCAACAAATTACCTATCAGTACCACAATTACCTAAAGGAGGCCCTGGCTGGGTAGAGCTCAGTGGGTTAGAGCGTCACCCCAATACACCAAAGTTGCGGGTTCAATCTCTGGTCAGGGCACGTGCAAGAATTAACCAATGAACACTTAAGTAAACAACAAACAGATGCTCTCCCCTCTCTGAAATCAATAAAAATTTACAAATTACCTAAAGCAGCACATACCTTTTTTACTGTCTTTTCCTTTTGGTTTTTCTAGTTTAATTTCATTACCAAAGACTTTTAAACCAGTGAGTTCCAAGGCTTTTTCTAGGTCTTCAGCAGATTCAAAATCCACATAGCCAAACTTCCTTTATGGTGGAAAGGCAGACATGCATAATTACAGGTGTGGGGGAAAAAAAAAAAGAGCCACATTAACATATATTCTAAGTAAACAGCAGCACTTATGTGATGGTGCAAACAAAGATTTAATTAAAAAGCAGTTCCTCTATTAACAAAATAAAGTTAGGCTCCGAAAGATGGCGATACGGAGCAAGCTCTAAGTCCAAGACCAAATGCAGGTTCACCTTTGAGGTGTGTCTTTATTAGCTACACTGCTCACAACAGCTAACAGAAGAACTCGCTGAAGCATGAAGAGATCCTATTTGGTTTAAAGCACCCACTATCATGGCTACTTGAATTTAATAGTTTTAAACAGTAGCAGCTTAAAAAAGTTCATAGCTTGTTAAAAATAATTTTGTGCTAAATCAAAAGTTAAGGGAAACATGGAATTTCAATGTGGGGGTTTTATAATTTGATAATCTAAATGACAATTCACTAACATCTAAACCCTGAGGATATACTCGAGCCTAAGGACAGAGGCTTTTTTAGACCATAGAACGGAGAAAAGAAAGCATCAGCAGACCCAGAAATAATAATGTGCAGAAACACCATTTCAGCTCCCCCATACTTACCTAGACATACCAATTCTGACATCCACAACAGCAAGATCGTTTTTAGCAAACACATCACTGATACCCGTTTTTAATTCAGAAGCAGATTTGCTGAAGTTCAGGTTTCCAATAAAGAGATTGAAAGCTGTAGTTGGTTCTGTGGCTGTACAAAAAATAACCTCAAATTAATCTAACAAAATATGATGTGAACTTAATTTCCAGTACAAGTTTGTGTACACAGCACATCAGCATTCTGCAATGTAACATCAGGTTTCAGTATTAAGTCCCTTTGTTGTTCATCACTTGTGCTATTGGGCGCCACTCCCCACAATTCTGCCCAGTTACCTTCTACTTTCTGCTTCTTGGCTTCAGGAGCAGCTTTCTGTTTGGCCATTTCCTTCTTTCGTTTTCCAGGTGCTTCTTTGACAGGCTCTGGACAAGATTGCAAACAATCTGTGTCATCCATATGTAGCCACACACATTCAAATACCTCCTTTAAACAAAACTCCTAACAATATAATTTAGAATGTAACTTGATTACCACCTTCTTCCTCTTCCTCCTCCTCTTCCTCATCTTCATCGTCTTCATCGTCCTCTTCTTCATCTTCTTCATCGTCGTCCTCTTCGTCTTCATCCTCTTCGTCTTCATCCTCAGCTGTGCTCTTGGACTTCACAGGAACAACTTTTGCAGCTTTCTTGCCTTTGGCTGATACAACTACCTCCATAGGTTCTTCTTCAGAGTCTGAAAGATAAACTACCTAGTTAAAAACTCAAGAGAATTATCACCAATCAACATTTGTTCTACATAAATCTGAACAACAACAACATGCTTAGTAACTATGGCAAGAATTAACAGATTAATTGGAAGCAAAACCTTGTATTTTGAGAAACACTCACAGAAAGTGCGGTGTTAAACATTTTCTCAGAGGCAGGCAATTATTCATGGGTATCCCTCTAGCACACAACCAGCCCCAAGGATCCCTGGAAGGATTTTTATCTAACCCCCATGATGTCACGGAAGGAGTGTTTGCATGTGGCCCACCCCCACCCCCAGGCATCTTACAAACAAGAGCCCGAGGACAACCAACAGAACTCCTTACCATCTTCTTCATCGTCATCCTCATCATCCTCATCATCCTCATCTTCATCCTCATCCTCGTCTTCATCCTCATCATCGGAAGCGGCAGCGACGGCAGCAGCTTTCCTCACTGCTGGCTCAAATTCATCCTCATCTTCATCCTCATCCTCCTCATCGTCCTCTTCACTGTCGTCCTCATCTTCTTCATCACTATCTTCCTTCTTAGCATTTTTGCCATTCTTCGCTCCCTTGGCTGGAGTGGCTGCTCCCTTCTTACCAGGGGCTGCCACCAGTGCTTTGCCTGGTGTGCCTCCCTTCTTGCCTGGTGTGGCTACTGCTTTGGCTGGTGTAGCTGCTGCCTTTTTGCCAGGAGTTGGCATAGCTGCTGCCTTTTTGCCAGGGGTGACAACTGCTTTCTTGGCTGGTGTGGCAACCGCAACCTTCTTCGCTGGAGAAACAATCACCTTCTTTCCTGGAGTTGTGGCGGCCTTCTTGCTTTTCTGAGGAATGATAACCTAAAGAGTAAGTAACAACAACCATCAGTCTACCTGCAAACTCAAAAAGGAAGCCTTGGTCCCATGTAAATGAACACTAAAGTTTTGGTACTGCCTCTGGTTCAAGACCACATACATTAGGTATGTGCTAGCACATTAAACTATAGGTTCATGTTAATGTCCTTCTGTACACCTGCGAAGTCAACAGCCCTCATTTCCAGATAAAATATCCAAGCATAAAGAACCCTTAACACTTTTAATACCTCCGGACCAGATCTGTGAATTTCTGTACCCCATACTCTAACTGCGTCAGCTCTAAAGCAGCACACCCTAAGTGGACTCTGAAAATGGACTGTCTGGATACCACCTGTTACTCTGAGGCCCTAGACAAGTATTTTAAGCCTCAAATGTTTCTCTCTTCGGAAAATGATTAATAGCATCAACTTTGCATGTTGTTTTTAGGATTAGGAATTGATTTCTGTAACCAAAAACCTTGCACTTTGCACTTAGCACTCTCTTAAGTGTTATCTGTGAGAGGGGATGTAAAGTTCATTGAAAGCTCAGTCTTAGAACCAGAGATAAAACAAGTATGAAATAGGCTCAATCCTTGCAAAATTAATACAAATTACAGAATGAGCAATTAGGCTGATAAACACATTACTTATCTACATTGAAGTCACACTCAAAGCTTTATGCTGACCATCGGTTTTATCACATGTGTTAAAATAAAGCTTTTAGTTGCCTTTACAGGAAAGCAACAGCAGCCAGGAGCAGCAGCGTGGACACTGGCACAAAGGGAGGTAGCAATCCTCACTGTACAAGAAATTGTTAACAGTGGCCAGTCTTACAAGACTCATCCCAAGAACAGAGACCTGCCTGGAGGCCGCGGAAGGAGTCCGGTGAGTGCAGTGCTCAATACCGCCACACACAGGACGGCTGTCCAGGCTGTTTCCTCATCGAGCGCCTGGGGCTGACATGTTGAAACTGGAAAAATGACTTATGTATCACCACCCCGAGCCCGGCTGAGGGCCCACGAGGATCTCCTCTCTCAGGCGCATCCAGGTCCTCCCTCCTGGAGTTCTGGCAGGTCAAGCAAGACCTTGTGAAACACTCAACCAACACCAGGACGGACGTCTGTGAACACTACCTTATTTTTGCTAGTTATTTTCAGACCTCCAACACCACCTTTTACTGCTCTCCATTCTGCATTAAATCGCACGTAATTACCTCTTCTTCGCTGCTTTCATCATCTTCATCTTCTGACATTTCCTCATCTTCACTATCTTCTTCTACCTCCTTCGGAGGAGGGGCCATTTTCTTGGGGTCGCCCTGGTTTTTACCAGCCTGAAACAAACACAATCATTAACGCATTGCACCTCCCACATTTTGGGACACTCACGTTTTGCCCTCATTCTTCATGAAACGTGCAGCTCAGAACCCCCTGTCCACAGTTATATATCAAATATAAGCCAACCTCGGATAAAAAGGTAACTTCAAGGGAGCATATCCCTCTCTCTGTTGCCTTCACTAAGCGCACCTGTTTTTAAAAACTGTACTTCCAGGACCATTCTTATACCAGACACAATTTATTAATACTCGGGAGCCTACAATTGGGCCATCTGAAGAGCCAACAGCCCACGGCCCTTCACCTGGGGGACACTACCTTAAAAAAGCTTCCGGTCAATTCTGGCACCTCATCCCACCACCCTCTCCTGAACTTAAATTAAGGCAACTTGGGCGCGGGGGAACCAAACACGTGTTAACCTAACTCCCTTTGGTCTTCTCACCAAGTTTTCCTCTCAGGGAAACCCCGCCCCTTCCAAACCCACTGGGGCCACGTGGGGGGTTCCTCGCAGGCCACCACGTGCGCGCAGCCCGACCAGGAAAGCACGCGGCTGGACTTCCTTCTGGAGCCCACCTCGTGTACACGATCTCACAGGCCGCGGGCCTCCGTCCGAAGCACTCCCGCCGCTCCCCGCCTCAAGGCACGGTCCCCTCCGGACACGCTGCGACTCACCCGGCACGGCCCACGTGGCGGGCCGCGCGCCCAGACACGTGCGTCGGGAGGCGGGGCCCCGCTCGCGCCCGTCGCAGGAGTTCGGCCCCATCCCTCCACCCCGAGGCCCTGCGCCCCCTCCCCACGCGCAGTCCCTAAATCTTTCACCGCGCTATCAACTACCCCCGACACCTGCCCAAGCCCTTCACCTCGCCACCAACTAGCCAGAACACGCGAGACCTCCGCGTTTGTCACGCGAGACTTCCTGCAGCATGGCGCCCTCGAACGCGCCCGGGATGGCGTGCAGGGCCTTCTCGCGGCGCCGCGCGCGCGCTGCTCAGAGAACAGGCCTCGACGTCCGTGCTTACAGGAGGAAAGCCTCTTACCTTTGCGAGCTTCACCATGATAGCGGCTTATGACGGCCGAGTGTGTGGCGAGTGAGTGGCGCAGAAGAGCCCAAAGGAACCTAACGACGTCGATGGCGACCGGGGTACTGAAGATCCGGAACGCGTACGTTGCGCTGCCAGCTAGAGCTCGAGACTGAGGCGAAAGACTGAGCCTGCCCAGTAATCGCCTCTGGAAAGGCGACGACTGTGTCCTCGTGACTCCATATCAGCCAACCAGAGTTCGCGCTCATCCCACGAGCCAATCGCAAACCTCTACCAAGAACGGCGCGGGGCGGGGCCCGGGCGGGAGGGGCGGGCCAAGGCCGCTTGAGGAGTGGGAGGAGATTCGGATTCGGCGCCCTGCGGGAGGGACTCGCTTTGTGCAAAACCGGCGTTGATTGGGCGGTGGGCGCGCAGTCACCGAAGTGCTTCTTCGCGGCTTGCTGAGTCTGCGCCGTGGCGCGGACATTTTTTGGCGCCGCGTGTGCTGGATCTCGGGTACCGTGGGTTCTCGCGGTCTCCTGTTCCCGACTGTGTCCGGATCCTGTCGACTCGGGCGGAGCTCCTCGACGTCCCCATCCCACACCCCACGCTCATCCTCCGGCAGCCGTGGAGAAAGGAATTAGCTCCCTTTCCCCCGCTGATGAGCCCGAGACCGGAGGTTCACAACGCGGGAGTCCGAGGCCCACCTTAGCCCCGCCCGCCGACGAACCAGGGCCAGAAAATCGTCTGCAGGTGATGATTCCCTCCTGGGCCACGTGCCTGAAGTGGTCTCCTGAGGACCGTTAATAAAGGCTAAATAAATAAAAAGAAAGGCAATCGCGTATATCTGAGATTTACTGTGGGCAGTGCACATATATAGTTAATCTCAAGTAACCTCAGGCACTAGGTGTTCCTTCCAGTGGGGAACAGGCTTGGAGGGAGAACTTTCTGGCGGTCACAGCGTGTTATAACTGGGGTAGGGAAAGGGACTGAATCACGCCGACCACAGACTTGTGCCTTTGACCTCTCACAAGTTCTCTGCTACTTGGTGGCCGAGAAGTCAGTGTTACGGGATGGTCCAGGAGTCGGTCAAAAGAGCCAAGGGAAAGGTTCCCTTGATGGCAGAGGCACAGAAGACTTTGTTGTGCTTTTGCCAATTATTCCTATAGGTCACTGGAGGCAAATTAAATTGGTACTGAGCTTAACCGAGAGCACTTCCTTCAGTTTAGAGCTTGCGTAGGATATATTCTGGGCATCTGGTACCTAACTGTTCCTACAAGACCAAGACACCTTCAGCTCTGACGCATTTCCCCAACTGCGCTGATGTTCAGAACCCCCTTCTGGAGATTCTAATTAAAGAGGTCTAGGTTGGGGCTCAGATTTTGTATTTTAACAAAGGCCCACAGGAATTCTTGTGAGCAATCACGTTATTTTGCAACCCTTATCAGACCACTCCTGGGGCCGAACATAGGAAACCCATAGCTACCCACTGGGGTGCTGTGATCAGGGAGGAGCCTGGGGCCACTGAAGTGGTCTGCAGCCTGCTTCCTGAAGATCTGCGGAGAGCCCCTGAGGAGGTCACATACAGAAAACTCTGGGATGGGGGCTAAGGGGACAGCGGGTCACGGGACAGAAAGAACAGCATGAGGTAAGGCACGGTGGAATCAGGTGCTGGTGTCTCCAAGCAGTTTGACACAGAGCAAGCTGAACGCATTCCTGGGAACAGGCTGGAGAGGTGACCGGTGGGCATGACCAAGTGACTGGGATGAACTTCAGAAATACTGGCATGGCTGCCTCCTGGTCATTCAGATCTCAGTTCATATATGTAACCTCTTTAAGAGGCCTTCCCCAGCCTTCCAATGGAAAGCACCACCCAGCCTCCCTATCACTCTCATTGTTTCCGCAGGGACTTACCAATCAACACCTGGCATGTTTCTTGGCTGTTCATTGTTGGTTTGATGCCTCCCCAGCCATGAGAACACAGACTTTGTTCTCTGCTGTATTCCTGGAGCCAGGGTAAAAACTATTTGTTAGATGAATAAATGATGTATTTCTGTAAAAGAAGCAGTGGATAGAACCAGTACAGCTTAGGGTTGAAATGCCTTGCTTTGGATCAGTCTGGGACGGAAAAATAGTAACATCTAATACTTATGTAATATCTATTATGTTCTAAGCACTACTTCAGTCCTTTATTCACTTACTCTTCAAAATAACTTTTAAATAGCATAATTAATAAAAATAATTAAAAAATAATAAGTTATCACTTTTACAGAAAGGAGGCGTAGAGAGGTAAGTCCATTTGCATAGGGTCACGTAGTAAGCAGAGGAGCTAGGATTTAAATTGAAACCTTGTTCTGTCATCACATTTTATAAAATGGGGATAATAGTAGTAACTGTCTCTAGGGTCGTTATGAGTGTTGAGATGTTGCATGTATTTTTTGAGGGTACATAATAAGCCGTTAATTATTAGCCATTGTTACTATTGATAGACTTGGTGACTTGGATAGAGAGGGAAAAGGGATAATTTATTTCTATTTGTTACATTCAAGAGTGTGCCTAAGTACTAAGAATAAGGCAAAGATAGGGCAGATTCATATCCTCACGGGTTCTAAATCTGAGATTCTAGAAGGGAAACCATGGGGGGGCTACCTGAGTGCCCAGAAACTTGGGCGAGGCCACCTCCAGCTTTATTCTCCTGTCACAGAGGCCCGAAAGCCCCCCCCCCCCCCCCCGCCCCTTCTGTCTCAGGAGAGTGCCAGTGGCCTTCTCTCGGGCAGGGGCGTCCAACCCGCGGCCCAGGGTGGCTATGAACGCGGCCAACACAAAATCGTAAATTCACTTAAAACATATTCTTGTTTTTGTTTTTGTTAGTATGTGTGGCCCAAGACAACTCTCGTTCAGTGTGGCCCAGAGAGAGCAAAAGTTTGGACCCCCTGCCTGGAGTGTCTTTCCAGACTCAGTCACTGCAGCCACACCCAGACAGGTGTGCTTACTATCTGTGATACAAATGCAGTTACGCTATGTACACGGTCCCGCGTGCTCCTTTCTTTTTCATTGGCTGTTGAATAGATTGATCTCGCAGCTCATCCCACATCCGTGCTTGCAGAGCTGCCTCGTTCTTTGAGATAGCTACCGTGTCCCTGTACTGGACACGTAGGGTTATTTCCTGTGCTTTGCCATTACAAACTCGTAGTAAATAACCTCTTTGCGTACTTCCTTTGCACATTACAAAGTATACCTATACAGCAGATAAAATATTTAACACTTAAACATAGAACAGCTGGGAGAAAGGCTATGGCCTTTCACACTTTGATCACTGCCCTCCCAAGCGCCGCCTTTGCTTGGGATTCTTGGTGGCACGTCTGGCAGAGGAGGGATTGGCTGGGGGAGAGGTGAGGCTACCACATGCCACAGAGGCTTTATTGTAGTACTTTTCTGTGGATTTCCACACTGAAGAGTGTGACCAGCTTCTGACACCAGCTCCGAGCCTCGGGGTTACTTGAGCAGCCGCCGCCACCGCTGGCCACCTCTTCGGCTGGCTGGCACAGCCTACTGCCATGGCAGGGCCAGCCCTCACCACCCAGCGCACCCGTCTGCACTGAGGTGCCCATTCTGGGCATCCACAGGCACTTCTAGACCCAGAAACCCATTGGCCACAGTGGGCCTCGCGTCAGTGAGGGGTCCGAGAGCCCGCTGGAGGAAGCTTGCAGATCTTAGAAGGGTTCACTCCAATCCCGAGACCCAGACCTTCAGAACCCAGTGCCTCGGCTGGGCTGAGCCAGAGACGGAAAACACCATTGGGTCTTTAAAACGGAGGGAGTTCAAGCAGGAAATTAGTTCCAAGGTTAGAACTGCTGAGAAGCCAAGTGGGACCTAAGGCACAAGCTGGAAGCTGCTGCCACCTGCAGCCTGAGCTCCCCAGGAGGTTCCTCTGCTGAAGGAAGAGGCACAGTGGAGGGACCGGGGCTGCTTCCAGGTTAGCTGCCCAACGCCCAGGGTCAGGGGGCACCGTACCTGGCCCCAAGGGGAATTCACAGCCTCCACTCCAGTGCTCCAAGCCTGCCTGAGGCCAGTGGCCCAGGGTGTCTGCTGTGAGGCTGTGGACATGGGCAGAGCCCAGATCGCCTTTCCAACCAGGCCAGCTTCTGCCTTTTGGGGTTCCCTGAGGCCTTTGCCACAGAGGGGTCCTAAGCTCTTCCTCTTTTGCCAGGCCTTGCTTGGCCTTTAGGCCAGCGTTTCCAAGCACAAGGCAACCAGGCCCAGGGGCCGGAGTCAGAGGACCCAGCCTTGGTCTCCTGGAGGCAGCCGGAGCAGCTCATCCGCCAGGTCGGGGCTCGGCCCTCAGCTCCCCTACTGACCTGGTGACCGGGGGCCCCCAGAGCCTGCTGGGGGGCTGCTCGCGGGCCCAGAGGCTCACTGTTGCAGATTCCCCTGCCGCATCTCCTGGGCTAGGCCCACCACGGTCAGCGTTCCCCGTCTGCCTCCAGGAGGCTGGGCCTCGCTGGAGAGAAACCCTGCAATAACACGGGTCTGGATCTCCAACGGTCCCGCTCGGCAGCTGCTCAAAACGTCTCCCAGGAGCTCCGGACTGGACCTGGCTCCGGTCTCCCTCTCTCCAGCCGCAATTCCCCGCCTTCTCTGCCGGCCTCCTCACCCCTCCCCACCCCTCCCTCTCCACTGAGTGGCCGTTTTCCATTTTCCACTCAGGGAAATGGAGACACCCCACCCCCCACCCCTGGGGTGGTCTCACCTTTGGGTTTGCTAGAGCCCCGGTCCTTAGCTTCCTCTCACCTGCCTTCCAGGCCCAAGGGAAGCGGGAATCTTTCTCTGAAATAATACCCTTTCACGCTGGTGGGATAGCTCAGTCAGTTAGAGCATCGTTCTGATACCCACGGTTGCAGGTTTGATCCCCACTCAGGACACATACAAGAAGCAACCAGGGAATGCATAAATAAGTGGACCAACAAATCAGCGTTTCTCTCTCTCAAAAAAATAAAAAATAAAAAAACACACCAATATCCTTTCACTGGGGACCCTGCCCTCTCCAGTAGGCCCACCCATAGGTCTCCTCAGCCACACCCTCCTTGCCTTCTGTTGTCCTTCACCAGAGCAAACTTCTGGGGAGACTTGGGAAAAGTTGCCGCCAGTCCCTCCCAGGGCCCGCAACACCCTCTTGGTTGCTAGCGCAAAAGATACTTCTGGACCTT